CTTTCTTTATTGATATTGAAGCTGAACGTCTGTTAATAAGAAGTTTATGGAAAACGATGTTGATTCCAAGTTTTAACTATTAGTTTTTCGCAGTTAAATCTGAACTGATTCGACTTGCCTCGGTCTACTCTATGGTATTTTTCATTTTTCTGGAACGAAAATTATTCAGATTTATTCAGTTTCGTGTTGGTCCACACAGAATAAAATTTATTGAGGTTTCAGAGCCTGTTAGAGATGCAATTGAATTATTAGATAAAGATATTTTTGTTAATTTTGGAAAGTAAGTTTTTTATCTGTAGTTTAGTATCAATTAGTAGATTTATTGTTCATTGAAACAAAAATTCCACAATTATTCTGAAGCATTGCAATTTATAACAGAGACATAATATTCGGATTTAAAAGAATTAAGTGACAATCATATTTGCTAAATTCTATTTGTAATATTCGCTACGGGTCTGATATGATATTATAAAATAAGGGATTAATGAAAGTTTATTGTATGTAGATATGTTTTTATGTAGGCACATGTTTTTATCATATTTAATCATAGATCGCGACTTCCATTGATAATTGTGGGTAAATTTCAATAAATAATTTGATAAATTAATTAATTATTAATGTTAATTTATTTTAGCATTATGAATTTGATTTGATGCGTACTATCGACGTGAATATGTTAAATAATTTCATCGTTTCAACACTAAACATTTTGATACTGACGTCACTCGTATACGGGCGACAAAAGATTTTGTATAGATCTAAAAATTAACTAACTCAAAGATACAGAACAAATCGAATTTCCTCAATCTATGAGATGCAATAAGTTTAACCCTTTGCACTGGAGCTTTCTCTCACTGAAATTACCAGCAACTCGAAGTAATAGTAATAGGAAAAGTATATAAACATATAAATAAATAATACGCGTGGAAAGAAAAGTCATAGATCTTTTTTACTGTTTTTTATCGATTATAGATATAATTGTTATGATATATTTAACGACAAAATTTTACAGTTTCTAATGGCAAATTTTAAATGACTGCTAAATGTATATTTTTACTTTTGTGATCCTTGTAGTAATTATAATCTAACAAATTCCGCATTGCGATAAGACAACATAAAAGGATTTTCTGAAGCGCATATGAAAAACAATGAAAACGTACTTTTTTTCAAATATTTGTTGTTATCGCTTGTAGGGTGTCTAGTTGTAGGAAAACAGGTAAATGAAAGGTACACAAAATGTTGTCCAAAACTGTAATTTATTTCTCCATAGTGCCAAAATACACTAGAATATTTCATAACCGTAGAAAATATTATTGGTACTGTTCAAATATAAGTATGTAATATAGATGCAATGAGACATGAATGATGACTGAATGACATGAAATTTCATACGGATGGAGCGTACATCGAAAAATGGAGCACATCATGAATGGCAGAATCGAATAAGACTGAGCAAATAAAATAAACGATAAGTTACGTTAAAAGGACAAAGAAAGAAAGCCGTACGGAAACACGACCGTTCGAACTGATTTCACGAGCAACGAGTGGCGCGTCGATGTCAAAACGATATTCCAAAAGAATCCTTTAACCTTACGTTCATTCCGTTTTAAGTACTAACACAAAGACAAACTTGCTAAATCCGAGATGAAAATTAAATTCATTCAATTTAAACGATCCGTGTTTCCTTACGGAACAATCTACTCGGCGCTGCGATTTTCCACGCGCTGTGACCGCAGAACAAAAATCACCGTCGGAATCTATGGATGGATCTAGAATATTATATTGAACCAAAAATAAAAGAAGAGAACAGAAAGATCGGTCAGAGACAGAACGACCGACATCATGCAAATAAGTTTATGCCCGGCATCGCCACGCCTAAGTGTAAAATAACATGTAAAACCGTACATGATATCAACATTCAAATCGCTCGACCGAGTGAATTCGAAGAAAATTCTTATCCATACAATCAAAAGTTCAATCCTCTATGAACCGAAATATCCTGCGAACGGGTTCGCGCTGTCCGCGAACGAAAATAAACAATAACAATACTTGCTTTCTGACTTCGTACGAAAAGAAAATCATTATACTGATTTGTAATACTTATTGAAAACGACACGGTTCATAAAGGGTTAATTTTGTTTGTATCCTCTTTTTTTTCTCTTTTTAAGTAGACGCAAATACAAACAGGCATCATACCCTCGAGAGTATACACACTCGATAACTGTCGCAAAATGGCCCGCAGTTTCGTTTCGCAACACAAGATTTCGAATCGACATATATGTACAAACGATCTGCGCCGAACAATGTATCGAAGGATCAAGGTGTACAATTTTTTTTTCTTTTCTCTCTTCATTTTCCTTTTTCTCTTCGTTCTCCTTTTCGCCCCTTTCCCTTTCGAGCGGCGGAAACTGCGGACCGATGTAAAATTAATCGATTATCGTTAATTGTATCTTCCATTTTTTTGTTTTTTAGACTTTTTCCCCCAATATACAAACAACACACGATCGTGCATCGCGTTGTATCAATGATCATCATTAAAAGATAAGAAGAAAACCGCATGCAACGTATATATCTAAGTAGCTGGTAGGACAGCAACGCAAATCGCATACGTTTCGCGACAAATCAAGCTTGTACAAGCATGACACGACCGTTAACCATTAAAGGCGTGAATGCAACGATAATGTAACGGGTGGAACGGAGAAATTAGAAGTGAAGGAGAGAAAGAGGGAGAAAGAAAGAAAAAAAAGGGAGAGAGAGAGAGAGAGAGAAAGAGAGGGAGAAAAAGAGAAAGAGAGAAAGAGATAGAGAAAAACAGAAGGAGAAAAGATTCGAGGAATCGTCCTCGAGTTACTGTATACATAAGTAATATTTTGATTTCTCAGGTACTTTATACACATTATCGTAGGTAAATAAGGCAGGTGAGGCAGGCCTCATGTTCGTCGAGTCCAGTTTTCGTATTCGACAAAATGGCGCCGACTCGCCGATGTCATGCGACGGCGTAAAACGTAAATTCGATGAACAAGGACTTGGATATCGTGGAACGTGCCGCATAGTGTTCCGTTCTTCGAACATCGTTCATCATGCTTTTGTTCCAACTCGATTTGTTCTCTTTGTTTGACACGATACACCGTCTGACAAATCCCACGAGGTGCTTGATAATGTTCTAACATTTAAACGGCGAAAATGAAGCAATTTTTATCATAAGACGTCTACTTTGGATTCTCTTTTTATTTATCACATTAATTATTCCAATAAAATGGAAGAAAAGAAAGTTTCTTAAATCATTACCATTTTGCCGCTGAAATTAACCCCTTGCCCCATAACAACGTATCAGGCGCGATGACTTTAAAGGGAAGTTATCAAGGATACATATCACGTAATCCTTTTGAATGCAAAATTCAATATTATTCTTCTGTTATCAATAATTATACTTTAGAACAAACATAGGCATACAGTATGTCTAAGATTTTTCTCTTTTCTCAATAAATTGTTAATGACAAAGTGGTTCTATCGATCATAGTTAAGAAATTAATCATAAGGCAAGGGGTTAATTGAAACAGAGAATACTTCATTTTTGAAATATTAAATAAATCTGTCTAAAGAAACACTAAATTCTAACTTCTGACGAAGTTTAATATTTTACTCTCTCGAGTGACAGTGATAAACTATTTTCCTATATTTAACGCAACACGGAATGTGCCCGTGTCACTTTCAGATATTACACGTCCTACGAGAAAAGCTGCTTCGCTTTCGCATCTCTTCAAGTTTCCTCTTCGATATGAGTCTGTATCCACAGACTCACTTCACAGATCTCAATGAAATCAATTCGATAACTAGGGGCGATCAGTTCAACTAAAAGAAAAACCATTAGATATGCGGGGTATACAATCAGCTCTCAAAGTTTCGTACTCTGTGTGTGTATGTGTGTGTCTCGGTGTGTCTACGTGTGATGCATCGACATTATTTGTTGTCGCGATCGGGAACACGTAAGTACAGTGTCGAAGGGTGGATCACCCAACGATTCGTCTCCTCCGCGCGCGGATCGTCGAGTATATCCCTCGAGTCGCCATGTTCATGGACGAAATTATTTTTCTCGTATCCGCCGCGATCTCCTCTCCCATACTTTCCTCACTTTTTTTTTTCGTTCTTCGTGCCTCACGAAGGATTCGTTGGAATCGTTTACTCTGTCAATACAATATTATGGATAATATACCTTTTTTTTCTTTTTTTTCTCTCATCTTTTCGATCAAGTGGATCGATTCGCTCGATCGCACATCCAAGTTACCGGTGACGTTCACCACGCTTCGATCTCCGAATATAATACAACGGGGCCCGCGGCGGCGCCATTTTGGAAAACAGCGTCGCGCGGACGGCTCCCGAAACATTGTGGAACGAAAGTCTACTAAAACCGCGCCGCGAATTTTACAGACGTGTCCAGTTTCAGGCAACCGACCCTGCGAAATCTGCGAAAGCAACCCGACAGAGGCTATTATCACGCTAAACGCAACAACACACTCGTCAAACGTGTAAATCCGCTTACACAGTAAGCATCGTGCGAAAATTCTAAACCCTCTAAGCTCCCTGGCGTTCCTGTAATACCTAACTTGAATCCCTTTGTTCTTTCTGTATGCAACGTTCACATAATCGGATCTGGACTAATTGTTCGAACTGAGCTAGAATACGTTGTATATTGTTTCCAATTTTCGTTTAAACATTTGTATATTTATTTTCTTTCGCTTTATTGTGTAACAAAGTAAATGAGTTTAGTATTATCGCTGCTATTAGCATTATTGCCATCATCGATATTATCATTACGTCTTTATTACACGTAAGTTTTTCCTCCTAGTTCGAACTAACGTGAATTAGATTTATACCGCCATTCTTTTGTCAATCTTTTTGGCTATTCTTGTAGTGTCATTATTTTTTGTATATGTAATAGGTTATGTATGCTAGTAGAGCAAGTGTTTGTAGGTTTTGGTTAGGTTTTTCATTAATTCCTATTATTATTGCGTGTTCTGTTGCGTTGTTCAGAGTTTTTTTTTAGTTCGACTGTAAACGGTGTATGTACTTTGTAATTAAATGTAAGATTGCAATATGTATTTTGCATTTTGTTATTAATCCAGATCCGATTATAGTATTCCTGCGATATTTTTCAATAAACGATGCATACAATTTAATATAAATGGTCGATCTTAATTTTACTGAATAACTAGTTTCTTTTTGCTCGTTGCTTTGCTTATTGAAAAATGCAAGACCTTCTTATCTTTTACGTCGAAGCATAAAAACAATTGTGTAGATTCTAGAATAATAATTGAACGAATATGTTTCTTAGAATCTACGTTTCTTTTTCACAAAATATTTCACAAAATAGACTTTTTTCATTTCCTTTCTCCTCTATGAAAATTGTTTTTCTTTTCATTTAGAAAAACTATTGTTCGACCTAATCGTGCGGATAGGCTCACTATTTACACTAACTACACTTTTATTTCACGTCTCTCTTAGAGTTCTTAAGAATCAAATACGAAAAGGATAAATTTCGTATTAATTTGAAATATTAAGAAAGGCATCGAAGTGCTTTCGTGAAAATTGCTTGCTGTGGAAAATCGATATGATGTCGATGTAAACAACCTTGATGATCAGTTCGATACTTATGTCGCTGTAAATTTTCGATAAAAGATCCACAATAGAAAACAGTTAATTTCTAAAATTCTGTTGTCAACCTTTTTTCGTTACTTTTACACTCTAATTTCGAAGGCAGTGAAATAAAAAATTCGTTACTAAACTAACCACCATCTAGAATGTAAAAAAATAAAATTTGAAATTTTCACTCGCTTTTCGTCTATCACTGGTTACATTCCACTGCCAAAAATTACAAAAAGATACGTACAAAAATGAATCGGATCAAAAGTTTATATAAAATTTGTGATTGAATCCGTGCACAACCTTCCTATTTCTATTGAAGATTAACCACTCCGAAACAGTGGTTACTGCGGTTCACGTTTACCAAGGATTAATTGATAGTCGTATGAAAATCTTCAATATACTCTATACAAGCGTATATATGTTACAACAAAAACAAAAGGGACTGCAGGTATTTGAAAATCTCAGATCCAGAAACAATGGACTTTTAAATATTTAAATTAATGTTTTCCAGTTCCAAAGTTACAAAATTATGCGTTGATAAAACAAAATTCGAGGTAAAAGTACCTTTAATAATAAAATTAAAATACTGAAAATCGCTTAACATTATTACAATGTTCGTTTATCTATTTAATACTGTATCTGAAATCCTTCTTTTATCAATCTTCTATAATTCCATGACGAAACAATTGTTTCGATATAATTTGAAAATACCAAATTCACAACTCTCTATAGAAGATAAATTCAAACGAATTCAAGAAATTCCAAGAAAACTTGAATTTGCTCAAATAAACAGTTCAAATTTATTTTTAACGATCAACGCAATCTGCAGAAATATACCTTCATCGAAAAAGAAAAAAATCAAAATAATCAATCTTAATCAATTTGTAACATTAATAATCAATTTTTCAATTAAAAGTTGTCTGAGAAAATAGTCGCAACACTGTACGAGTTACTCGAAAAGAATTAAAAAAGAAACTTCACGATTGCCCTACTCAAAATTTCTAAATACCCACAGTACCTTTGCCTAAACGTCACCAACCGACGCTCGAAAAGCGATTCAAGAAACACACAAATGTGATCTATTCACAGTCCGATAACTGCTGCACCGTTTCGCTCGACATCGCTCCCAGAAAAAAGAACGACCTCTACGAGATCTGTATAAACATCCCTCAAGCACTAACTAGAAGCGTTGAAAATATGTATGAAACTGGTGTTTCGTCAGCACTTCGTCACCTCGTGAAGACGGGTGATTGAATTCTCAAAATTTCTAAGACTCCGTCGCACAAACGACATGGCATGTCAGCCATAGTCTAGTCTCGAGGGTTCGTCAAGAAGCCACTCAGAAATCCTTCGTTCCGCGGAACGCATTGCATGTTTACACGTTTCATCCTTCCTCAGTCAGAAAAAATTCATTAAATCATTCTCCTATCTACTCAGCAGTAGACCCTGCTCGGATGAGCTCTTCAAAGGGTCACGCTACTGGATACATTTTCCCACTTCACCAATCGAACGTTCAACCGTCCTAGTTCGTCAGTGAACGCGACGGATGAATCAAACGATTCCATGGTCACCGTTTAAGCTCATCTATCATGAACAATAAATATTATGCAACGTTGACACGTCGCTTGTGTGTAATACCACGCGTGGATGTAGTTGTGAAATCCGTGAGGAACTTGAAACAGTCGCTTAAGCTCGAAGCTGATCGAAGAGAGACGCTCGAGAAATAGATCGCTCGTGAGAATCGCTAATTTCGCTGACATTCTAATCAAACGAATGAGGATTGCGTAGTACTTCGGTCGGTAACGTTATTCATTTGACTAAAATGCTAGGAGATTATGTTCACAGGCGGATCAAAGTTCCCTTTGATTTTCCCCCGAAAATTCAAATCGAGAGGAAAGATTTTTCAAAAGGAAACCTTGAACACGAGGCTTCTTCGATGTTTTTACTTCATAAGAAATTATTCTCAAGTAGCTACAGCTTGTTCCTCGTCGAACTCGAACGATCCACCGTGTTCTAGTAGCACTCCATGCTACCCGACTTTCGCAGACTGCAATCATCGTAAAGAAACAAAAAATAAAAAAAAATCACGAAAAAACAAGAAAACGATGGTATTACTGTTATTTAACATCGCGTGGTTGTGGCTCTCCAGGCGGACGTGTTTTCACACGTAAGGACGCGGGGTTCCTTGCACATTACTAGCACGTGACAGACTCCGGACGTCTATGGACCGGTCCGTTTCTCTTTCTCCGAGGAGAATATCTCTAAATGTCACCTCTCGCGGGACGTTAAATTACGAACAATAATACGTGTATGTATACATATATAAGTTTCAACATATATACATGTACGAGCCTAGGAAAACAAAATGGTGACGGGTGAACGGGACTCGAACACGCAGCGTTGCGATTCATCGACTGGCTAACAGTGTTTTCAACCATACAACCGAGATGTTTTCTCGACTTCTCTTAAGATCAGTGTCTGATTGAAAGTATTTATTGCATCATTCAGACATTCATTTTAATTTTTAGAATTAATGTTAACTTTCTCTGGTCAAAGGCGAAGAACTTTTGCAATGAGAAACATAATGTTTTAATAACAGATAACAGAAAATTTCTCTATTATCATTATCATATAATAGCAAGTCAAAGACAAAGACAGTAACATGAATTACAAAAGGATTGTTAACAATACAGCTTACTAGGCTGGTTACGAAATATTAAATCCAACGACAATGGGTTAATTCAATTTGAATAAAATGATTCAAACCTACTAATTACAAAAAGAAGACTAATAAAAAAATGTATGTGTATTAAAAATAAAGCGAACTTTTGCGATGCAATCAATAGTTTCAATACATGTTTGCATTAATCTGTATCTTTCAACTACTTCTTACATTTTAATTAATTTACCCAAAACTCTTCTTATCTATTTCCAACAGCACAAATCAGATCACACAGATGTGTATAGATTAAGGAAGATCACAAATAATTTATATGCATATTAAATTGCGCCTGTATTTATATATATAAAGATGATCAAAAATTCACCTGGCCAGCAGATTGAACCATAGCAAGCCATTCAAAGAATCTCAAAATAGTGTATTTGAGTCCCCTCCGCTCCATTCCTCTTTTTCCTAGAATCCCACATGTATCCTATATATATAAATAAATATTTATACTATATAACAAAAAACGCCCACTGCTTCATCATGAAAACCTCGTTACTCGTTATAAATATTCTGCACATCAGCTTCGTTGCGAATTCGCTGTCATAGATAAAGTTTCCTCTTTATAAATACTTCGTCAACCTTATCTTTCGAAATTCTCGCCTCGCTTGAAACGAGCTCGCAAGCCATCTCGGGAGGTCTCGATATATATTATTCTTCGCTCGAAGATCGAATTATCATTTGCTATGGCTCGTCTTCGTTCACTCGACAAGGGTATAGCGGTCCTTCGGAGCACACGAACTGTACTTACCGTTGTCGTTTCGACGATTCGTGCTCGTCGACGTTATCTCGTAAAAACGTATATAAAAAAAAAAGAAACAAAAAGAAAACGTGTTCTTCGTCAAATGTTTTCTTTTGACGTGGTGCTCGTTGATCGCGACCCTGTGTCGCGCCTCAGTCACTCAGTTTTCTCGCTTCCCATTCACTTTTTTTTTGTCTTTTTCTCTCCGGTTTTCCGTTTTCTTATCGCAAAAAGAACGCACAGTTTTTCAGCGGAACGCGGTTTGTTAGTGAATTTCAGTCGAAAAAAAGGAACCAGTCTGAAGTTCTATAGGTACGTTGCCTTCTCGCTGCATCTGTGAACTAGCGTTAATTGACGAACGACGACCACTCGAAAATTCCGTTGGCAGTGTGTCGGTTGAAAAATTGAAAATGCGGCGAGACTGAGATCGGTTGTGCCAACGATGCTTCGGACTAATGTTATTGGTTCTGGTTGTCGCGCGATTCGCGACGTGTCCCAAGCCGTGTGCAATATTGTTGTAAAGACAAATGGATTCTACGATGTTAGAAAAGTTTGGTTGAACGTGGCTCGGGTTACGTGTGTCTTTGTGCTTTGTAGTGCGAAGAAAAATTGTAGAAAAGTTTGGACAAGTTGGACACGCTTTGTAAAAGTACTCTTAAAATTGTAATGGTCATACGTGGTTGTTGGAAATTTGGGTCAAAGTGCCTGAGACAGTTTGGTTAACACCACACGGACCACAGTGGAATTACGTATATTGGTATGTACAATGTTTTTGCAAATTTTTACAATGGGTACAGATGTTTATAAAAACTACTAAAAGTTGTTTTTAACACTTTGATGAGACGACACATATACTTCAGGTATAAATTGAATGCAAGTAAATATTTGATATCATGAAAACGGTTTTTAAATAATTTCGAAATTTTTATCGTCCTATTTTTAGACAATTATGTTTTAAGTTAAAAATATTGTCTTCGAAATTTTTAAGTGATTATTTTTACGAGTTTACAATAATTGAAGCAAAATATCCTGTGAAACGTTTAAGTTACGCTTGGCGTATCAGATTGTTACAATTTTTCATAATCGAGAAATTCCGTCACACAGGAAATCTACATAAAAATATATATCACGAGTTCTACGACACTTATTGTCCGTTTTTAGTTTCTCAATCACTCATGATTTAATAATCTAATTTAATTCAAAAGCAAATCTTCGTTTTAAATCATACTTTCAACAACCGAAACACATAAACTAATTCTATATAAGTAACAGAAATAATTAAATCCAAATGTCCGAAAAACCTTTTCCCACAAAATAAAAAGTACCTTTCATGCAATTTGATACACAAAATGTTACTGTGTCACTTTACAACAATAAAAGCTAAAGCCCTCTTCCCAGTATCTGTCATCATAATTTCTCATTATCAATCAAGCTTCTGCCTTAGCAAATCTAACCATACTTGTTTCCAAAAACAAATGTACACATAATCCCCATTACCGCGATTAAACCCCCAAAACAAACAAAACCCACGTGAACTCAGAAAAACACCAGTGGTCCGTCAGTGGTCAACTCAAACAGGAACAATAGAGAAAGAGGACCGGGGACATCCTCTAAATACAACCTCGAAAAAAGAATAATCTCAACGTATTTCCTCTTCTGAATCGACGGCGATCCAATCGTCAACTACATACGAGCATGTTGGCAGTATTTGGATATCGGACTCAACTTGAATTTCTCCACAAGAAAGAAGGAAAAAGAAATCGTGCGCTCCCTCTAAACGACAATCCTCGCGCCTTGCGATCGGCGCGGATCAGAATCGTGCGTTCGTGAGGTAAACGATCGAGGGATGACCGGTTGGTCTGCCGGTCAATCGAAATCGCTTCCGGTGACTGAGGAACAATCGATCGGTTCGTCTGAACGGGTTCTTCGCTCTGGTTTCTCCCGGGCGAGCGCGACGCCGTCAAGCTTTACCCAGTTTGCAGGGTGCAGCGGCTTCAGATAGGAGGTGGTCCCCTAACGTAGCGCAGCTGAGGGGTTAGGGACAGGTTCAGCGTGTTCGCCGCCTCGCAGCAATAAGGCTCTAGATGGCACGCGGCGTAGAACAAGGCGAGCAACGCCAGCTGGAATGGCAACGCTGCTCTAAGAATTCGCCAAATCCAACTGTCCGGCAGCCCTGGCTCGTTGTCTGGGTCACCGGCGTCGGTCGCGCCGCATTTCGCCGCGATCGTCATGATCCGCTCCGGACCTTCCTTCAGTACGTCCGTGGAACTGGCTTTCTTGCGTTTGCTGCACAGAGATCAGAGGGTGGTCGTGTTTATTATGGTGAATGATTTTGCTGGAAGAAGTAATAAATATCTTCTAGCTAAAGCATTGAATACCAACGGGGAAGAAGAATATATCGAATAAGAGAAGACTGTAAAGAAGTAATCAGAACAGTTCACTCATCCTCTAATATTTTGAAGTTTCTAAAAGAAATCAGAATATATTTCATTTAACTCCTTGCCATACTATAACGAGTGACACTCGTGATGAAGATTTCTAGATTAATTTAACAAAACTGAATATTGTTCATTCCCCACGGATCAAAGCAAAAAACTATTTTGCTATTATCAGTGTATTATTTTGAAATAAAATTTCCACTTAAAGTAGAGCAGAAAACTTTGTTACATTTCTTCCAAATTGTTGATAGTAAAATGCTACACGAGATCAGTAAGGAAAGTAAATAATACGTCAAGGGATTAATCAGCCATCTCCGACTAAGTAATACACAATATGAGCATATTCATCGATAATTGTCTTCATAATTTAAAGTAGTTGCCAATAACTCAATGGAGTAGACGTAATTTAAAATATGCATTAAAAATTAGCTACGGAACTAATTCGAACACAATCTCCTTCAAACATTCTATTAGATCCCATAAGTTGTTGTCGCGGTTGTTTATACTTCTTGCGTTACGTTTGGTAATCGCAGAGCGATACGAGGATTTGAGTGACTAAATTTTTATGCTTCAGTTTAGTCAGTGGAAGGTATTTGAGAGCGACAGGTGGTGAAGTTATAGGAATTTTATGTTTAGTAAAATATTATTTTATATGGTAGAAAAGTAAATGGCACGGACTTATGGGGCGACCTAATATAAATGTTTGAAGGAGATTGTGTTTCAATTGGTTCCTTAGCTAATGTTTTAGCTAGAAGAAATGTCGTTTATTGAGCGACACTAAATGATTCTTTAGGATGTTTTCGGTGTAAAAGTCATTATGGTACTTCCCTACTTTCTGGGCAATAAATAAAAATATAACTTATTATTATTATATATTCACGTGAATATGTAGATAATATATTGAAACCTATTCGCCACTTCTGCTTTACAGGTTGACTGTCAATGATATTATTAGTTGTTGGCTGGGGTGTCGACACTGTTTTCTCGAATATTCTTTGTTTATAGTAATTCATAATATTTTATAGAAAAAGGATTGTTAGAAGTTTTAAAATATTGAACAATTATATTTCATATTTAAACTGTGTATTCTAATACAAGCACGACGTAACGTTGTTTTGCTCCTTCTGCTTTTAATATATTTAAATAGTTCCAATATATTTCATTTTTATGAGATTTCAAATAATATGAATGCATAAGAACGTGAAATATCAGATTTCTGCTGAAGCAAGTAGTAAGACACAATAATAATAAGACAAGGATACCAACTACCGAGATACATGATAAATAGAATGGTTCCCATGCTCGAAATATTAAATTAATACTAAAACAGCATAACTAGGAACTTCTGGTTCCTCCAAACCTGGAAGTTGTCCCAGTAATCAAGCAAATTAATTTATAGCTCCCCATGGATGCAAAAGCAGAAGGGAAATGTACAAAAGGCGAGTTCCGCGGAAAATCAAGTCAGAGATGTCCCTCCGTGTACTAAAACTTCTAATGACTGATGACTTTTGTTACAAAATCTTCGTACACCTAACTATAATGTAAAATATAAAATAAAATCCTTTATGTTTTTAAATATAATATAATATAATATACAAAAGAAAATGCTACATATTTATATGTTAATATTATGTATGTTATTTATATAACTATGTTTGTCTTACATTTGTTATAAAAAAAATAATAAATACCATTTATTATTTATAATCACACATTCTATTCGTACTGTTCATTCCATTGAAATTAATTTCGACCGGCATGCCATTTATATGTATCGATAAAATGAATACAACCACAAAGGGTTAAATGTATGGAGTGTATGAAATACTATTGTCGATTCTTATAATTTTTTGGAGAATTTCTAGTTTCAGTATTAATTTTTATTTTACACAGAAATGAAGTCAGAAAAGTACGAGGGAAAAACGGGAAATGTGCGAACAGACACGGCAAAATCGATGTAAAAAAGAGGGGCGACAAGTTTTTACAACTTCTTTTATGATGCAATATGGCGGGCATTCTATGCCCGCGAAAACTAAACCTATTACCGTCACCACCGAGCAGTGATTAAATGCGACTATAAAAAGCATCCTTCAAACAAAGTTAAATAAGGTGGCCCGGCGATAATGGGAATTCGGAGTAATTGCGATTGAAACAGCAGGTCACGAAACGTATCCGCTTGGGAGGAAGAGAGCGGAATAGGGAATACAGCTTTTAAGACCTCAACCCTGCTTCTAATCTCAATTTTCGCGTCTGTACGCGTCGACGCTGAAAAGTAGACTGCTACAAATTCCCAGTGAACGCTTGCCAATAACAATAAGTCAACGCAATTAATAAAGCAGATTAAGATCTTAAATGACAATAAAATATTGAGAAATAACGAGTATAATAGAAGCATTGGAAGAAATAACATTATATAATAATAATTTATAATATTATCTGTTTATAATAAACATTTTATATACATATTTTTTACATGTACATGTAGTGTAATGTACTTTAATAAAATCGTATCTATTTAACTGTATACGTCAGTAAAAATGTCTTAAGTAACATCTAAAACATTTGTACAAATATCTATACATAACAACGTGAGAAACAAGCATCTATGAATTCCATTTTCTGTACAGAACGATGCGAAAAATGTGTGAAAAATTTAAAGGATAGAAAGAACAAACAATTGTTGAATCACAGGCAATTATTTCCTGAATTTCATCCAAAAATTGTGATAAATATCGTGTTTTCGTATCGACTTTTTCCGAGGCGGTCTCGTCACCGCTGAGCAGCGTCCGTTCACGGCTAACTTCTTATATTCAAATGAGTGAACGCGTTATGGGAGTAGAACTATGAGCGAACGAGCTCTTTGTCCCCACGTCTAAATAGACGCCTTCATTCTTTGCTTCTCATTTCGACGTTATGCAAATGGAATGCGAGCCGAGGAGACCGTTCTTTATTCCCTCTAACGTCGTGGCATCTTGAGACGCCTGAATAAATTAAAAACTACGCCTCTCCGTGCGTTTACCTCGGAAATTACTCCGGGTTCATTAACAGTACTAACTGACACTAGTATTTATTCGTGTTGCGGAGGAAATGCAATAGTGAATCGGTACATGTCTCCACAATAGAAAGAAAGCAACATCCTTTTACCAAATGACTGGCATATATGAATAACGATATTTTCATGGAAAATAGGATGGCACATTAACATTTATTTAGTGTCTTTTGTTTATTTCTATGATGTAAGTAAAGACTGCGATATAGTTTAAAAATCTCAGATTTTGTAGTTCGCAGCAAACGAATTATCGAAAAACTGTGAATTATTATTGTACGTTCATCTTGCTATATAATACCGTGTTAGGTAGCATTATTTATAAGATAGAAATGTCTTCAAATAATTAATGTTTAACTGAACGAATTATAGTAATTCGATTTGATTCACCGGTGATCACCATAGCATTCAACTATTCGCAATCTTATATGTAATGCCAACGTATACCGAGCAACGAATGATTGTTCAAATGTTTATGAACAAACTATCAACCGTTTCATCGATTAATCGCTTGGCTTATAATAACGTGTCAGACTCGCCGAGCAGATTTTCAAAAGAATTTAACAACCATAAATATTACTCAATTCTTTTGAATTTAAATTAAACGTTATTCTTCTGTTATCGATTATTGTACTTTAGAGAAGACATGTGTAGGACATATGCTTATAATTCGTCTCTTCTTCAATAAATTATTGATGACAAAGTAGTAGCATCGATCATACTTAAGAAATAAATCATAGAACAACAATCCTCAACAAATCATTAAAGTGGTTATATCGATCATAATCCAAAAATAATTTACAGAGTAAGGCTTTTTAATAAATTATATTAACTGTATCGATCATCGTTTAAAAATAAATCATAGAAGATTCCCAATAAATTATTAAGACTAGTTGCATCGATCACAGTTAAGAAATAAATCGCAGGACAACAGATTAATCGGTGACAACGATATCTATTCAAAATGAAGATACTCACTCCGCGAAATGGTGTATCTGATTGGCTGTCCGTTTCGCAGCCCGCGCCTCCACGCTGGCAGCGGTGCGTACGATCAGTTCCCGACACTGTTTCTGAAGATCCCGAAGCTCGGTCTCGGTGTCCTCGACTCGCTTCCAGAGATCGGCGAGCACCTCGCTACCAGGTGCCAGTTGACTCTCCAGGCTACGGGTCAGCCGTCGAAGGGCGGCAAGCCGTCGCTCGCGTTCACTCAACTCTTGCTCGCTTCCGCTGTCGGAGATTCCGCTGTCCGAGAGCGAGCCACCTTCCTGCGTCAGACTGATCGGCGACGCGTCACCGAATTTCGCCACCGTGCCGCTGTCCACCTCCTCCGTGGTCGTGTCTTTCAGCACGGTCCCGTTCTGCAACAAGAACAATCAACGCTCTTTTGTACTTCGACCGTCGCCAGTGACGATTTTTCTTTTGTTTGTTTGCGGATTCCTCTGACGAGGGAACTCCGCCAGATAAATTCGTTTTGAGACGATATCTTAAACCTATGCGCTCGTATGCCATGCTGCAGAAGAGAATACACATTTGTTATACTTTATTTGTGGTGCTTTAAAAAGTACCACGCTTTAAAATATTATGAACGTTAAATCTTATTACAATAATAATAAATAAAATTAATATAAAACGTTGGAATCTACCGCTGTGAGTTACTTTGATTCATTTCCCTAAGAATAAATACCAGCTTACACCGAAAATGGTTGGAAGTAAATCGAGTGCAAAGGGTTAAAAATTGCACAGTGCATTGCAGATCAAGGCGAATCGGATCATTTTCTATTCGATATCAGAGAACTATTTTTAGGACAGCAATTGCTTCGCCTGTCTAGGTGCACGTAACCCCTTAAATCGCGACTGCTTGTGAGATTTCACGGCGATCGATTACTAAGAAAATCATGAGAACGTGTACTTAAGCTGTGCCGCTGATTAGATCGTGGGATGCTGATAGGTATAAATACACCCCGGGAGAATATGATATCGAATATTGCGTAATCCAGTGTTGCTCGTAGCCGCCGGGCAACCGGAAGGCATATAAGACGATTATGTGGAGGAAAGAGGGCGGTCGGTTGGGGCGAGTGAAAGAAAGGAAGCAGACGGTATAAGGGCGTACGCGTGACATGAATCGAACTATTTCTTTAATACATTTAGGAATTCTTGATAAATGGTATTATTCTGATGATACATTATAAGAGCATTAACCCTTGGCAGTCGTACGTCAAGTTATATCCGAGTAGTTAAGGAATAGTTAAGGACGGTAATAGTTGTTGAATTTTTGTTACAATTATTCGTATATATTATATAGTATTTATTAGTACAATTTCAATGCTTCCCAAATGTCCTCAAATAAATGATTAAAGCGCTATCGAAATAAGAATGATGCAAATTCTAAAATGAACATCTATGAATTTTTCAGAACGTAAACAGTTAAAAGGGAATCTCATTATTTTATGAAAAATATAGACTCTTCAGCATTGTTTGTAGACAAAAACCGCGAACGTCTTCACTATACTGCTTCGTCAAGTTTCATAAATCTTCATTTCAATTTATTCAGAAATACAGTTTCCTCGCCACATAGATCTAACTGCTACTCACTTTTCAATTATTATAATAATTCTTCTTATTCTTATCACAATGGTCACAAAAGGAATATTTATTTAAATGTCCACTACAACGCTTCATAGGCTCAGTACTATCACGACCATGTTACCTTCACCCCATTCCCACTGACAACACTGAACAAAACAAATTTTCCAATAAAAATAAACCAACGCAAAGCTACAGAAAAAAATCAAGTCGCATATTTAAAGCTACTAGCAACATTCTCCTCCGATTAATGTTCCTCCGCGTTGCCCCAGTCTGCACCGCAAAGCACAAAACCGGGAAAGCTCCAAAACTCTACGGAACAAAGTAAAGTGGTCGTTCAGTTCCGAGTACATCGGAAACAATTCTCGGTCCACAACGGTGTCACGTAACCGTTTCGGGTTTGATATGA